TTTTAAGTAATTATAAAAAACAACAACAAAAAAAATTTTAGCAAGCAAATTTGCCTGCATTACGGTTTAAGAGATAGGGTCTTCTTTATTAATATAAATCAATATATCAGAATATTATAATAATATTAAATACTATTAACAATCTCTAACCATCGTTTACCCTAAGATTACGCACTTATATATCTTTAATTCGTGCTGAGGGTCATTGTGCTAAAAATGTTGAACAACTCCAATATAAAATAGTTATATATTTTTGAATTAATATTGGATATACAACTAAATATAACATAACTATATTGATATGAAACACTATAATTTAAATAAGCAAGAAATTTATAAGATTTTAAGATGCATATTGTATAGAATATAAAAAATACCTCTTTGAAAACATATCACTTCAATTCACTATAATTTTCTAATGTCAACTCGAATAATATATAATGCCAGAACAGGTATTAAAATTAGTGATATTTCTCATCCCATACCATACTGATCTGGTCATTCTAATCTGCATAATTTAGAAATATTCATGGCTAATATGCAATACTCTAATAAATCAAATAATAGTTATATACTATAATTTAATTATTATGATCAGATTTTTTAAAGATTAATTTCATATACGAATTTACATATAAATTCGCACTGATTTAGGCACACTTTTTTTTTTACCTAACTAACAAAATTGTATTGTATTTTTTGTAGTTCTAGACTAGCTCTATGCCGTAATAGAGCCAGTTTTGCAATAAACTTTTAAAAAATCTATTCTTATTTTATAAAAGTTTGTTGCAAAAATAGTTTTATTACAGTATAGGGCTAGTCTAGAACTATAATTTTAAAAAAAATGCAATACAATTTTGTATATTAGGTAAAAAAAAGGTATATCTAAATCAATGTAAATATTTCATATGTAAAACTAACCTTTAAAAATCTGATCATAATAAGTATTGATCACCCTAATGAAACATGAACTGCTCATATCAATATTAAATGCTTAGACCAATTAGACCAATAAATAATCGCTAAACTTAGAAACTAGAGTGTTCTCAATATGATTAACTAGCTACCAATATAGTCTACGATTAATTGAAACGATCCTTACCTGTTACTGTAATTTTGTTGAAGGTTCATAATGCGAATGCGGATAACAAAATTTTAGTTAATTGGAACAAGTTTGATAAAAAAAGGTGGTTCAAACTTTTTTTTTCCATTGCGATAATGAACCCACTTCCGGTTAGGCTACTTTCTACCAAATAAAAATTGAGCACTGATCTATTAATTTATATGTTTAAGAGAATCTTAAATAAACTTTAAACAAGAAATTAATTAATATATTGATTGATAACATTCAATTAATTAAATAAGAAAAATTCTATTGACAGAGTTTTGTAGACCAATTTCAACCTTATTAAAGAATTTTTGGAGCTGTTAATGCTGCCACAGCCTGAGCTATGGCTCTAGATATGACACAAGTTGTGGCTTCAATAACTATAGCTCCAAAAAGTTGATTTGGTTGCAGCTGATACTAAGCTATAGTAAAGTTGCAACTCTAAGCTATAGCAATAGCTTAAGCTGTAACTCATCAGCTTGGCGGCTTTACAATTCCGAAGGACACATTTTTATAAATAATTGTCATTCACTCTGTTAAAGCGATAAAAAATACATGTTGAACATTTGTTATGGTTCAAATCTCACACTATATATAAATATCATGCTATGTGATGCAATTTCATAAAGTTTAAATGCAGAATCACACGTTTCATTGCATTTAATGCATTGCTCAACCAATTACGAGATTTTGCAGATTAAGGTAACTGCGCAACATAATCATGCTAAAACCAGGAACATTGCGTGAGTATTTTAAAATTTCAGGAATAATTATCTATAAAAACTTACTTGTGAATTAATCGACTATAAAATAATCTTGTCTGTAATTCAAATCTCTGCAAACTAAGTTGTCTATGAAGTAATTGTTAGTAAGTTAATACGATATAGTATGTTATATCAGTACAGTGATTAATCAAAGGCTATACTTGGTCAAACTATATAATCAATCATGATTGATTATGATCAATCATAGTAATTTTGACCGAGCAATCGGTCATATCAGGTTTGATTCCAATCTTTATTAATCGATACTGCTTCTAATACTGTTTTATACTTAATATGCATATCAGCAATGTCAAATTAAACAAATAAATAATCTTTTAAAGACACTTATGAAAGAATACTCAACTAGCACAAATAAGGCTATTACTAAAGTTCTGGATAAAGAAATTGACGAACTATTTGAATTAATACAAGCCATAGAACTGGATCGATATCTTACTATACGTGAAAGAACAATTAAATCTAATGATTTTTTCAAGTAAGCTATATAAAAAAAATATAGGCGAAAGTTTAATAAGTTATATAAAAAATATTTTAAGCAAAAGTTTAGTAAGTAATATAAAAAAATAATTTGAGTGAGTTATAGATTTAGTAAAAAATTTGATAAAGTTTAATAAATAACTTGAGCGAAGGTTTAGTAAATAATTTGAGCGAAGTTTTGTAAACTATATAAAAAAAATACCTTAAGTGAAGGTTCAGTAAGTAATTTAAATGAAGGTTCAATAAATAATTTGAATAAAAGTTCAGTAAGTTATATAAAAAAATAATTTGAACAAAGGTTTAATAAGTAATTTGAGCCTGATTTCAAAATTTTGATACACAAATAAGATTTTTTAACCTCTTAATGAAACCCCTTACTGTCATAATTAAAGAGTTCTATTATTGTTATATCGAATTTATTTCTATATTTGATAACTCAATCCAGGGATCAATTCAGTTTATTAGGCTCAAATCCTATGGTTCAGATTGGATGATAATCCGAATCTGTCAGATTTAGATTTTTCAGAACACTAGATATGGGCAATTGTCTTAACCGGTAAAGCAAACCACACTTGGGCATCTTTAGGCAGTAATGTATACAGGATATTTTGGAACATAGTGTTTAGATATTTTGAAATATTTTGACAAAAAATAAAGCCAATTTATTCAAAATTTTATTATAATAATCTGTTTTAATCTTCTAAATAAAGTTGTAAAGCATTAGACAGAATATATAATCATATATTTTTTATAAAAATATTTTAAATAGTTAAAGCTAAAATTAATATTTCAGATCTTGGACATTTTCAAAAAAGTGGCAGGACAGTCAAAATATATATCACTGCCCTTAGAAGCAGCTAAGTGATATCAGATCTGTAACTTAGATAGTTTAGATATATTTTGTGCAAATACTTTAATCTAATAAAGATATCAATGAAGCTGCCAATACGTTCAAAAAAAAAAATATTTATAAGATAGGCTAACTGATTTCACCTATTATTAGTATTATAATTTTTTTAGTTTTCCATGAAAATAGATATTAAAAATCTATTAATTAATTAGAATACTATTATTTTAATAAACCTGTTTGTAATTATATTAGCTATATTCAAATCTTTACAGTTAATATTTGAAATAAATATTAGCATGTTGCTAGTAATCTCTAAAATTGTACCCTTTAATTATTTTTGCTATTTCATATATATCAGTATGTATATACGTATCAGTTATAAGCTTTTTATTACTCACTTTGTTAGATTGGCATTGTACAATAAGTTTATACTTATCTTGGAAAGTTGTATTTTTAATTTAATACTATTTCTTTTTTAGTTTATTCTTGATAGACTAATTACTAATACTTCTATTCCAGTTTATATATAGTAAACAAATATTCAATGAGTTTCCATTCTTTAATTGTACTAATAGTTTAAAAATGTTGCAAGAAACTTTTAAGAATGTGTTATTAAAGGAAATTTTTAAATAATATCTATTGATTTGTAGTTAAAAAATACGAAATGTAAAGAGGAATTTATTAAATTTTTCAATGAGATATCTTTATATCCATCCTTATTATTACAGTTTTGGGAATATCTAAAGCAGAGACAAATCATGTAATCAACCGCCAATCAAATTATAGAATTTTAATGATCGTCAACAAAGCAAACAAAAAATAAAAATGAAAAATACAAAAAATAGCTGTCTAAATCTACCTCAGGTAGGTTAATCAAAAATATCAAAAAAGCAATTTTGCTTATATTTAATTACCTAAAACTTATTCTAACCCTAATATAGGATGGTTCTAACCCTAAAGTTAATCAATAATATTATTAAGAAATATAAATGCTTCCACTTTAGACATCCCCCAGTTTTGAGCTTAATTGCTATAAAAAAATTATAGTAATATTAGTTACACAATATGTTATACTTAAATTTTTGTATATATAAACTTATAGCAAAAATATATAGAATTATATATAAATTTTGTTGTAATGATATTTCTTTGTTTACATATTAACTTTAAATTAAATTTTATGAATAAATATATAAAGAAAAGGTGAAAAAAACACGTTTTAGACCGAATAAAAATGTTGCAATTTTGATATAATTTAAAAATATAACTTTGTCAAAAGAAAAAATTTAGCAGATTTAAAGTA